ATAAAAATTATACAAAAATGAGAACTTTTAAATAGTTAATTTAATATTAATATCGGCTGTTTTTTTCAAAATCTAATAATATTTTCAAATTTATATTTTATTCAAAAATAAAAACATTTTCTTTTTCTCAAAACCACATATAATCGCATTATAACATCGATAGACCCAAAATATAAAACAAAACATTAAAATCAAGATGTAACTCGTTATATTGCACGAGTACCCTTTTAGTACTCTTAATATAAGTAAGTTTATAAGCTAATTTATATTCTTATGCCTTAAGATTGTAATTACATGCCTAATCATATCCATAGGATAAAGACTACAAATATCTTATAAATCTTAATTGTATCTTATCATGTTTGCTGATATATAAATAAATCCTTGTAAAAATGAAACATTTTTCATCCATGTGGTTTCTCAATTTTAACAGATATCACCCTGAAATTAAATTTTTGACAAATAAGGTCCCTGTGGTTTCATTTATTCAACAGCTTGGATCCCTATTACTAACGTCGGCTCTTAAGCTCCGTTGGTAACAGCTCATGCCCCTCAACAGAGAGCCATTTTTCATCTTGTTGTACTTAATAATTAAAATTTCCAAAAATAAAAAATCAATTACGACGTCACCACCACCTTTAAAATAGTAAAAATCCAAAATCAAGTCTATTGTTTCAGAGACTTTTAACATGATATTTGATGACGTAGTGAATAGAAGTGGATGCATGCTTTGAGAAATACTATTGATTACTTCACATGGATATCTTGTTTTTCGTTTGAAAATCCATAAAGATGAAAAGAAATGGATGCTTCATCTTTTATATGTGAAAACCCATAACGATGAACACAAAATGATTAAAGTAGGGGCACTTGAACGGTGGTTTTGATGTCACGTTTTTAGGCTTAGGAAAACAAATCCAATATATCATATTTGAATGTAGGGGCTAGGAAAGGTGAGATGTCCATAGAGCTGACCTCTTTTCCGTACGTTTTATTGTCGTTATTAAATATTGTAGATAAGATCTATTTTAACAATCTTTTGATAAAAAAGTAAGAAAGGATATGATTTTGATTAAAAAAGAGATGATATGTTATTGCTTTTTTGGTAATTATGTTATTTAAATTTTGAACAAAAATTGAAAAGATGTTTAGTGGTAGTTCATTATTGTCACATGCTTTTTAATATATAATAATAATAATAATAATAATAATAATAATAATTAAGAAACAAACAAACAAATAAATAATGGTAATGGTACAAGTGTTTTTATATTAAAAGTATCCTAATAAATTTGGTTAAAAGCAAACTTTAATATGTTGTCTCCAACTAGGTCATGTAGCTTCAATTATACACTCAAAATGTCTTTAAATAAATACAACTATGATTAATTGTATCCACCATTAATTCTAACTATACCCTCAAACTCAATTACTTAGTTTTTTTTTTTTTTTTTTCCATTTCAAGATTTAAATAATATTCTTTTAAAGCTAATTTTTACATACCATAATTTATATTTAGATTTAAATTATAGAAAGCTAGAGATATTTTGGGTATCAATTCAATTTTTAATCACAAAAGTAGTGTCTGATTAGTTTGAGTTTGGGTTTCAAATTTCAAAAGTGTCTGGAGGTCTCATGTTCAAATCAAAGGAGAAATAAAAATCTTCTTGTGACTACAGATGTTCAAATGCAATGACTTCGGTCTACCCATAAATCAGATAATCGTATTTGGATTTGTCGATGTATATAATGGATTGGATATTCATGTTAATAAAAAAAAATAGTATTAAATGATGTTGGTTTTGTTTGGATATTTGTTTTTGAAAAAAAAAAGAAAGAATTTGAAGAAAGCGGTTTTGGCGTGTTCCGGTTCGGGTTGGTGATTTGATGTCATATGGGTCCACCCATCACATATTTATTGCCAACCCAGTCACGAGACTGTAGTCTGTATGTATGTATGTGGTGGGGAGTGTCTAAAATTACAGCCTGTCACATACTTATTTCCAAATTATTTCTTTTCTTTTTCTTTAAAAAAAGTTTATTAAAATTACATAAATATAAATCAATCAAGACGAAGACTCGTGTGAGAACGAAAGTTATGGTGAGAAGCGTAATAAAAAGATCTGGACTCTTGATCATTTTTAATCGCACTCTGCTTATGAATTATGCTTATCACGAAAAAATGATCTGATACATCTCAGTGTACCACATTAGTGTGGATCTTCAATTAAGATTGATTTATATGTAGAAATCTCTTATTAGTTTTCTCATCTGAACCCAACCCTGAAATGAATGATTGAACTATGATATCTTCACCCGACCCAATTCACCTCAAAAAATTTAATATTAGTTAAAATAATACGAAAAATAGAACCATCAAACTATTGAGATCAAGCAAGACTTGCGGTGTAAAACTTGAGTGTAAACTACATTTTTCTTCTTTGTGGTTGTTAAAAATTGTGATTTCAAATTCACGATTTTCGTCTGTGTTTGTGCTTTCAAATTCATGATTTTCGTTTTTATGATTTACAATTCGTTGTTATTTTCATTTTTAAGACTAATTTTGTTAGTAGTTTATTATAAAGCATGAGAGACTAAATCAACAATGAATTATAAACTATACAGATGAAAACAATAATGAGTTGTAAACGAAAATCATAAATAAAAGAACATGCAAAAAAATAGAAATTCTCATCAAACTACCAGGAGTTTGCTCAAAAATTAAATTTGAAAAACCATGCTTAATGTTTTTCAAATATGAGAAATATGTTTCATGCTAAGGCCATTTGAAAAATATGCTTACCAGAGCCGTCTGTTAAATGTGAGATTTTGAACAGGGCCTCCGAAATTTTGGGGCCCAAATTTACATGTGTTTAGGGTTTTTTTATCGACCTATGTAAAACTATAGCCAAAATTATTTAGGTTTAGGTTCAAATCATTAATGGTTTAGGTTTAGTTTCAGATTGTTAATCGTTTTAAGTTATTCTTAACACATATCATTTATCATCTCATTTATGCAATGTAATGAAAAGATTTAGATGTAACAGAGCCTTCAAAAAGGTTGGAATGGCTTACTATGTACTGTGATTACTTTCTTGACTCAAGCTCAATAGATTCTCGATTATCTAGATATTTTTAAGATAAGTATTCTTGAACTTTTGCATTATTGGGACCTCCATACAGTGACAGAAACCGAAAAATGATATTACAAAAATTCCGAGATCCAAAGTATAAGAATATATATTCATTGGGTTTTTTAATATGTCTTTTTCTTACTATAGTATAATCTACTAATAAATTTTATAAAAATAAAAGTAGAAAAAATTAGCTAATTTAATACCCTAATGACCGAAAAAGATTACGATATAAAA